AAAAGGGGTGGAAGAATAGGACGAGGCATCGTATTTCACGCACGCATACAATTCATACTTAACGTTTATATTGTTGATTGAACCTCTCATATTGTCAATACTTTAACGTCATCGCCGACCATAGATTATAAAGATAGATTAGATGAGTTGATTTTAGGACATGTCAAACCTTCTTAGGGTCATTTAATGTCGAATTTTGTATGGGGCTGGCAGTGAGAATCGAACTCACTACACAATCGTAATGGTCAACCAGTCTAGCCTCACTAAATATTAACCCACGCTGAGGTGACTTAAATGTAAAAGGTTTGGTTAGGTTAGGTGATTTTACAGAATATCAACCCTTGTTGGTTTATTTAATGTCGAATTTTGTATGGGGCTGGCAGTGAGAATCGAACTCACTACACAATCGTAATGGTCAACCAGTCTAGCCTCACTAAATATTAACCCACGCTGAGGTGACTTAAATGTAAAAGGTTTGGTTAGGGTTAGGTGATTTTACAGAATATCAACCCTTGTTGGTTTATTTAATGTCGAATTTTGTATGGGGCTGGCAGTGAGAATCGAACTCACTACACAATCGTAATGGTCAACCAGTCTAGCCTCACTAAATATTAACCCACGCTGAGGTGACTTAGATGTAAAAGGTTTGGTTAGGTTAGGTAATTTTACAGAATATCAACTTGTTGGTTTATTGTTAATGTTTTTTGTATGGGGCTGAAAGAATCGAACTCACTACCCAGTTGTAATGGTCAACAAGACTTGCTACATAAACTATTGTGTCTCGAAGTAACATAATTTTATTGTAGAAAGAGACTACTGCAAATTGTATTTTGTACATCATCAGTACAGATTTTTAAAAGGTAATTGCCTGTTCACAAGTTGTAAATGTTTATTACAGTTTAAATTCATTGAATCTCCCGAAATGCTGTACGGGACGATTGTAATAAATAATACGTTAAAATTAATAAATACTTTTAAATTTTGTGCAGAATAATTTTAAATGGTAAGAAGTGCATAATTTGCTTTTTAGGAAAGCCCGTCACTGGCATGTTCGCGTGCCTGTATGTATGTAATAAGAATTTAGTTACGGGTAGAACGACGGTTATCGTCTCGAAGAATGTATATATACATATCTATATATATATACATATATATATCTATATATATATATATATATATATATATATATACATATATATGTATGTATATATATATATATATATATATATATATATATATATATATATATATATATACATATATATATATATATATATATATATATATATATATATATATACATATATATATATATATATATATATATATATATATATATATATATATATATATATATATATATATATATATATATATATATATATATATTTATATATATATATATATATATATATATATATATATATATATATATATATATATATATATATATATATATATATATATATATATATATATATATATACATATATATATATACATATATATATATATATATATATATATATATATATATATATATATATATATATATATATATATATATATATATATATGCAAGTATAAGATTAGTTTATACGGAATAAATTCCAATAACCAACAATTACTATTCTTAAAAGAGTAGAGCGAATATAATTATTTATTGATAAGACACCGGAGGTGTTAAAACAAATAGCTATTTTTGTAGTGATTTTATAACCTGTTTATGTTATAATTTTCGAATTGAATATATATATATATATATATATATATATATATATATATATATATATATATATATATATTATATTTAACTGGAACGCAAGGAGCTGGAACAGTGTTGTATTGTCGAGAAGTGCAAGAAATAAACTATTAAAATAGAACTTACGGTTACGTATAGCTATTTCAATAGTAAAATGTTGAGACCTATTTTCCAATTTAGTACTACGCTCCAGATACCAAAGAGGGGAACTCTTCAGAACAACTCTCATGAAAATACTTGGAGAAAGCCCACAAAGAAGCTAAGGCTACTGTAATAAAAATGTTTTGCTTTCCAAAACTACATACCTTTATTGCGGAGGCTATAATAAACGAGAAAAAGAGAACAAAGAGGATATAATGTTTTCCTATCGCCATTTGGTCAACTGTATGGATTGTAGTTACCCCTAACCGTAGTATTGGAAAACCAGAAATAAAGAACAATTTTTAGATTTACCCTAACGTCCTTCTTTCGGTGGAAATAAGATCAGCTATGACGTGTCCATCTTTAATCGTATCACGAGATCAAAAACGGTCACGTCATATGCTACATATTATTATCAATAGTTGTTCTGATTCCCACTGAGTGTTGTTTGAACATGAACTTCTGTTAAATATGACTCAGTCTATGAAATATCTAATTCCGAAGAAACCTGTTGAATATCTCTGTCGCACTGAACAGAAAAAAAGGCTTAGTTCACTTTCCTTTGTGATGTTCTGCCTTTTCTTTTGAAACCTAAATGTTCTTACTTTTCTGACCTTTAACTTTTTTTTATAAAATCTGAGGATTTACTTACGAGGTCGTTTTCTGTGATTGGCAAGGTTTTAAAAAAAAAAGTGTATGCGGTTTGTACATTTTGCTGATGGCGTCAAGAGATAAATAAATTAGATTTTGCTAATCGCCAAAATAAATGTAATTTATTCGTTTTTTGATTTAAATTTTTTTTTTTTTTTTTTTTTAGTTTTAAACAATAACTTCCAAGATGATAAAATTAAAAAGAATTTTATTCGCGCTTATCGTTATTTGGTAGTTCTCCTATTTCGTTGTAAGACAGTGTCGTGTCCATAAAGAAATACATAAATAAAAATATAATTATACATGTCATGGTATCGGGTTCATAAACAAAAATATAATTATAGTTTCAAAAATGACTATAATAAAATAATTATAACAGTTATAATTATGATTAATTCACTCATTCTAAACCAATGATATCGACCCCACTTTTCTCCTGTACACACAAAAACGCGTGACATTCTGACGATCCGGCAAGCAGTTCACACGGACAGGTCGTTAACGTGCGTCAACGAAAATTTCGTCTCCTTTTCCTTTTCTGGGCATAATAGTGACATTTATCTTGTAGCACTCAACAAAAACTCGAGGTACTAAAACCCTAGGCACTTCTTGTATTTTTCCAATTATCTGGACACTCATTACACATATAAAAAAAACATACGAGAAAGACTGCATACAATTTACTCGTTCTTTATCTTATCCTTTTGTCGGATTTCGATCCATATTTGATCTACATTTGACCACAAACTCACAATTTTACTCAATGATACTGTTCCTCGTTTCTCAAACGCCACATAACAACCAGATAATAAATAATAATACTCGTTTTGTTGGTTCCACGTCTTGCTGTTTTGCGAATATTTTTGTATTTATAAATTATTTATTCATATTATAATTATTTTCGTGATGTCAACGAACGCTCGTTGCCACTTTTGTAATGTCAATGAATACTTGTTGTCAGTTTAGTAGAGACTTTGTAATCGCAAATACAACTATAATATACCGTTGAACAATAGTGGTGTCAGACGCCTTCGTATAAGTCTCGCACTAATAGTATTTGCTCGCTAATACTCGCTCGAACATTAATCCATATAGTGATCCGAATAGAGGAATAGTATAGTAAATAGAGATAAGAATAGAGGTCCGTATAGTAATAGAGGATAGAGTAGAAATGGAGATCCGAATAGTAATAGAGGATATACTAGAAATTGTGATCCGAATCGTAATAGAGGATAGACTAGAAATTGTGATCCGAATAGTAATAGAGGATAGACTAGAAATTGTGATCCGAATAGTAATAGAGGATAGACTAGAAATGGTGATCGTTAGTCGTCAGCTACTTCTTACATATATGCGTTTCCTCTATGGTCACGTGGTCTACTTAATTAAATAATGGGATCGCCTGTGTTTGCTCACTAGTGATCTATGTTCAAACTCAAGTGTCGGCAGTGACACTTTATTCCTTTATAACAATTATTTACTCAGTTAGAACTTACTTAAAACAACTACAAATATTACGAAGATTTTACCTGCTAATGTGACTGGGGTGGTTTTCTATGGGGTAAATAAGAACTATACAGTTTTAAAATGATAATTTCAAACATTACCATCAGACCTGTTCCGAGTTGAAGGCACCCTGCAAAATCAGCGTGCTTTCTCATCTTTAGGAAGACTGCTCTTTTCATGCCCATCTGTTCAGACACATTCGTGCTTCTTCAACACCCACGGAGCCAATCTGTAACTTAAAATCCAGCTATGGAACTGAGTTACAGTTCAAGTATTTGTCTTGTCAGCGTCACGTACGGTTTTGAATTCAAGATTGTCTTTCTCCTAGACTGGTTGCAAACCAAATCTATAGTCCAGCCTCCCCTGCTATCTAACCCATTGAGCTTAAATAGCAAGGGAGAGAAGAGATGGATCCATACCTTTCTCAAGAGTATTTGTGCGAAAGTAAATGTAACCATCTCGACTGGAATTTGAACTCACCTCACCGATTTCACGTCCCGAACCACTAACAATTGCACCAATTCTGACATTCAGTCAGTAGAAATACACTGGACAACAATGTATAGTAGTGAACAGTGCTGACAGAATGACGTTTGTTTCAATTGATCTCGTGATTATGTTATGAATACCAATAGATAGCAGTCGTTCAAATTTAGACATAACGTTTTATTTCTTATTTTCCCCGAACGCTTAGTACGACGCCATCTTTGTTTACACGTAATAAGGGTTTTAATTGTAGCATTATTCGGATATTTTAGATGAAATAGTGTCAAATATTATTATTTTCTTTCTGTTTACTACTATTTCTTTCATCTTAATTTCACTTGTTTTTTGTCGCAACATCCAAATCGGTATGCCACTATCGTCAATAAACAGTGCGAACCAGAAATATGTATCCAGTTTCGAGCCGTTATCGATTACACCAGCAACACATCCAAAATTACAGCACCTAGTATTCCCAAACGGTTACCCATCTAGATAATGACCAGGTTCGACGTTACTTAACTTCGGTGATAATACGAGAACCGGTGTTTTGAACGTGTTATGGCTGTAAAGTATTGAATTATTATTTGGCTTGTTTTTCCAATTTTATTTCCTGGCAAATACTCCAAGAATGGACGTAACATTGTGAAACCTAGTAAATAATGACCTTTTGAATCCTAGAGTTGCCAGTTAGTAATTTAAATACGAATCATGAATGAATGATGCTCGTAGCTTTGAAAAAAAAAAGTTTAAATCATCAATTGATACAATTCGCCTTGATACTATCTTCCATTAATCATCAGTTGGTGATGCCTGATGTTTAAGGGTTAAAATAGTCTCCATAAATGGATCCTCGCCAAACTTGGCTTAATCCAACATCTATCTCGTGTCAAGCACAAAACGGATTCTACTACATATAGAGTTAAGCAATATTATAAACGTTTCCTACAGATTCGGTAAGTGAAACTTACGAAGATCCTGAAAAGTTTATTCACTTGATAAACTCAGAACAGAATCGCAGCATGAGAATCCCGCGGTCGGACAATAGTTAGCGAGATAGTTTAATCGACCATTGCTTCTGTGTAGTGAGTTCGTTCCTCGCAAAGTGCCCCGTACCTGTGGAAATAATCTAAGCTTAGTAAATGTCAGCAGCGATGCAGCATGTACAAGTTCAAATCTAGGTAAGGCTACCTTGCGAATTCTGAATTTGGTAAGAAACAGTCGATATCTACTAAGGCCAAAATGAAGGTAAGAAGATTGTCTTGTGCCAGTCTTTAAGTAGACTCAGTTCTAATCTAGGTAACGCTAGATACGTTCGCCTACCATCCAGTTCACGCTCCTGCCTGGTATTTTGAACCGGAATACACGTCTATCACTTGTTTCCTGTTTAACATTGAGGTTCTAGTTTCTTCTAAAGTCTACTTACTTCAACTCTATACATGTAATTCTAGGCTACACAAATCTCATAGGTCCGCCAAGCATAAAAATTAATACAATATAGGAACCAGTATTACAGAGAGCTAGAGACAAACAACAATAACAAAAAGTTGTAATATGAGTTCTGGTAAAAGATGGTTACTGAGACATTAGGTTTATAAGTCCTCAAAATTCACCCACTAATGTCCCCAAGAACACATGGCCCAGTCGATAAAAACGTTGGTTGATTGATCTAAAAGTGATCTGACACAAAGTGTTAAATATTCCTGGCCACAGAAAGAGCAAAATAAACTTGGAGAGTTGAGTTATCAAGGGGAATTAACTAAAAACGGAGATATCCAATGGTACGTGGAATTTTTTTTTGGTCAATCTACTCCCGTGGAAATTCCTACAGATATCACCTGAAAAAGGTACAACGGCCGAAACGTCGTGAATACGTCCATTGTAAATAGTTGCAATAACTTATCTCAGAAATATAGACAGAAGCAAAGTATTAAGAAACAAACATTTCGTTAGAAACAAAGCAAAGAACTGTTATGGAATATTAATCCTTCTATATAGTGAAATATATCAGTGAATGTTGATAGACTTGAAGCAGAAGGATGCTGAGAATACCATAGAGCGAACATGTGATAAAAAATGACATTTATATTTAATGTTGAGAAGACTTGAAAGCAAGAGTAACAGAGGAAAACAACGCCTAACCTATCTAACGAGCTTGAGTAAATGGATGACGGAGCAAGGTTTAGATAATATTTATTGAGAGCTACAAAGGACAGTAAATTGTGGAGAAGGGACAAGGCACAAAGAAGATTACACCAGGTGAATTAATAATTATCCGAATTTTTGTTATATTTCTCTTTCTGTTCAACAGAGATTTATGGGCGCATGTGAAATTTAAGATGTGTGCGCATGTCGTTAGTCGTCACGACAGTGCATATTTATCGTTGATAAGTGAGTTAACCTTTGTCCTTCCTTAAAGGAAACATGACCTCTGTTCTCTGAGTTTGCATGAAAGAAAAAAAAGCAGTGACCATTTTTTATGAGCTGAAGTCCGGTCAGGTTCTGAAATCCACTGAAAACTTTCAACATAATATTGGAACAGTGGTTTACCACAGCTAGATATTTGTGAATTAATTCAGTTATGTGCAATACGTGATACACGTTTAGGGGATCATGTATCTTTTGATACATGACTAACAAGGCAGATTCTTTCCTGCAGTAGGTTGCCATTTCTTTCCGCAGTAGACTAGTTGCCATCCAAGGCTATAGAACCTGGTCTTTCCTGCTATTTACCCATAGCTGGAGGGGGCGGGAAGAAGAGGATCCATACCTTTCCCAAGGGTATTAGCAGGTAAGTGAATGTAGTGGATTTGACTGGAATTCGAACTCGGCTCTCCGATTCCTCAATCCGAGCCGCTATCCACTAAAAATATACAGACTAAACTAAACACGACAACGGGGTGGTATATTCATCAACACCCCTGACTGAAGACAACTTTGAAAAAGTCTATACCATGATTCTGATAAACTTACGAGTTACTATCGATGATGTGGCAAAGTATATGCAAATCGAAGATGGTTCTGTATATAAACTTATCGGTAAACTTGGACTTTCGTACCCAAAAAAAAACGGAGTGTCGAAAGGGCGGTTTTTCCACTTGAAACCGCTATTATTTTAACTAACTTCACCCCTCGACAAGTTTGTTTTAAAAAGAGATTCAGAAAATTCAGAATTTAACTTTCTGTTGAAAAAGTCATGCTTACAGTTATTGGGGACTCACAAAAGCCAGTGCTAGAACATTATCAGAAGAGAGACTCAACAGTAAATAATGCACGTAATGGTGTGATGTTATAGCCTAGTTAAAATAAAGCCTACAGTTCGAAGCAAATGCTAAGGTTCGTTTTCAAATGGGGTTTTACTTTTGAACGAATGTTCCACATACTGTTGGCCACACTGTTCAAACGCTTCTGTAAATGTGATTGTGGGTTTAGACCTGTCCTCAGTTCCTCAGAATACCATGTTTGGTCTTTTAAAAATGCTTTAAGTCATCAATTTGCAAAGGATGAGGACACGAAGTGCGCAATGAATACATAGCTGAGAGGCCAATCAAAAATGCTTTCTGGGAACGTATTCAAACTTGTGGAATGCAAAGCGAAGGGACTATACTGGAAAATTATATATGCTGTCGCAATAAACGATTATACCAAAAAGTACGGATAATTATTGACTCACCTGCGTATATAAAAATGAACGGCAGATATCGACGTTCAAACACTGAAACTCGAATGCTGATTTTTATGGAAGACAAATTCTCACAATATCCCTTCTCTTGTCATCTCTCATATATAATTGGGGATAGTTTGGGTCTTCACGATACAGGAAAAAAAGGGTTTCATGTACAGTCACACAGTGAACTCGAGATGAGGGAGATTTTTTCTTCACATGTTGGGGATATTATCTCTTTCTATCATGTGTTAATATCTTTTATTGTAGCAAGTATCGTTTGTAATCATTCAGTGTATATATATGATGGGTGGACTCTCTCGTCGTTTTCGACATATGAGTGTCTTTCAGTTCAGTTTTTAATCCTGTACCTGTCCCCGTCGGCTTAACTCTCCCGTCAGTGGAATTGTCTCTCAGGTGGAATAGCAAAGAAGGAACACAGAACTGATCTGCAGACTATCCACACAAATATATAGATAGGGTGTATCAAAAATACTTTTACAAACTTTGGGGGTGAGTTCCTCACGCTAAAGTCCATATAAACATATGCCCGCAAATCCTTCGTTTTTAAGTTATTAAGTTTAAAGGAAGCTTACAGTAGATGGCGTTGTGTTTCCATGTAGACTGGGCTACATTTGTCATTCGTGTACATATGTGACTAGTCTATCTTCAACGTTTAACGTATAGTAGTGTGTTAACTGAGAAGTGTTCCGTTTAACAATAGCATGATATTCATATCGTGAGCAAGCAGATATGATGTTTAAATACGGCCGAGCGAATGGTAATGGACGCCAGGCTGCACGGCTGTATCAGATTGCGTTTCAAGACCGAAGGCAGCCGAGTCATCCAACCTTTGCTTGCTGTGTATCATCGTGTGGTTGGGACAGAATCCGGAGCACCACAAACTATGCATCAAGAATAAGAACCTGAAGAACACTCTACACGCTGTCAGAGACGATCCAGGTATCAGCACACATGAAATGGTCCTAGCATATCATACATCTAATAGTACCGCATGGAGGGTACTTCAAGTGCAGCTCTTGTATCCGTATCATTTGCAACGTGTGCAGGGACTTTCGCCTTCTGATCACTCGCCGCGGGAGAACTTTTGCCGATTGTTTATTGCACAAACTGCCGATCCGTTGTTTGTCTCTTCAGTCTTTTTTTACGGATGAGGCAACATTTGGAAGAGATATCATAACAAATTTACACAACCAACATTTGCGGACGAATCAGAATCCCCATGCTAAAATACAAGCTAGGTACCAGTATCAGTTTACGATTAATGTGTAGCCTGGAATTGTGGGTGACTGTCTGGTATGCCCATATGGTCTCTCAGCACGTCTTACAGGAACTGTCTACAAGGACTTTATTTCAAACACACTTCCAGACATGCTAGAGGATGTGCCCCTGCTAATACGAATACGCATGTGGTTCATGCGTCATGGGTCTCCAGCACATTTTAGTCACATTGTTTGCGATGCATTGGCTGACATATACCATGAAAGATGGATAGGTAGGGGAAGATCGATTCAATGGCCTGCACGTTCCCCCGATCTCAATCCTTTCGATTTTTATTTGTGGAGCCACCTAAAACAATTGATTTATGCAGAGAAACTTCCTCAACGTGTTATTGAGACCTGCGAATGTAGTCGACACCATGTGGGAGTATTTGAAAGGGTCCGCCAGTCAATGATCCCACGGGTCAATGAGTGTGTAGACGCAAGCGGAGGACACTTTGAACGTTTCTTATGAGTTGCTTTGTTGGGTTACAACGATGGACATTTTACCTTGTTTTGGTGTGAGGAATCCGTTCCCAAAGTTTGTAAAAGTATTTTTGGATTTTATCTGGGATTGTACATTTAACGAAGGATTTGCGGACATATATTTATATGGACTTTTGTCC